ATCCAAATGTCTCCCTGAGCTAACGAGGCTCACTGGGGACACTCGCCAGCTCTCCCTGGCACACCCAGCGGCCCCACTTCCCCCAACAAGGGGCTAATAAGTTTCCTGCCCCTGGAGTCCATGCTCACAGCGCTGCCCCGATCGAGACCACACGCGGCTGTGACTGGGCAGCGGTGCGGACGTTCGGAGGTGGGCAGAAGGCGCTGCGTTTAGGGAGAAGAAACCTCATCGTCTGTATCATCTAGAAACCCCAGAGGTTTCTAATCCCAGAGCCAGGCCCAGCCCTGCACCAACTCTGGTGACTTTTCCAGGCAGGAGCTCCCAGCTGCTTCCTGCTGGCTGGGGCTGGGTGGGGACACATGCCTGACCCGCTCTAGGCAGCCCCCTGCTCGCCTGGGACATGCTGGGAACCGTCGGCCTCAAGCACCTACTTTCCTTGAGTCTTGGCCCCCCTCCCACTCCTGCTCACTCTCACCCCCAGGACTTGAGGGGGTGGGTGGGGATGGCTCCCCCTGTGCCCCGTGGGTCCCTCTTCCCCCCAGGAGGGCTAAGAGGACAGGACAGGAGGGAAGGTGAACTGCGCTCACCCTCAGGCTTAGGAGAGGAAAGACCCTGGAGCGGCAGGTTACAGAGGAGAGAAGATATTACACAGAAGGAGCAAACTAACAGCTCCCTCGCTCCGTGCGACAGGGAGCGTGAACCGACCCCAGGACTGAAGCCTCTGCTGTTTCTAGAAGAGACAGTGATTCCGGCAGGACGCTCACTCGGGGCTGAAAATGCCAGCCTGGTCCAGAGCTGAGCGGCTGGGGCTCCCTGCCACTCGGGAGCTACAAGGGGGGGGGGGGGGCATGAGGCCACTCCCAGCCCAGAATGACCACAGAGGGATGTGGTGGAGATGAAGGCAGTAATTGCTTTAAGCCCCCGGGGCTGGTAAGCGGGAACCCGAGCATGACCACATGAAGTCTGGCTCCACCCGAGTCCTCACGGCCTTTATCCCAACACCCTGCAGAGGAGCTGACGGCTCCTTAAACCTTTCTCACTTGCTCCTCTTGGTTCTCAGAAACTGCACCCTCAGCCAATATTGCCCTTGTTCGCACACATGGGAAGACCCAGGCTGCACACACGGGAGGAGGCAGGAGGCAGGGTGGGGCCAAGTTGCCAACCTCACTGACCAGTCCATCTGCTACGCTTTCTGGGCGGGGCAGGGTGAGGGTTGCTGTTACCAGAGGCCTTTCCTGGCAGTACCTGTGAGCTAGCTTCTGTTCCGGGGCCGAGGGCGGGTCTGAGACAGCCAGGGAACAGGCCCAATTTCCCAGAGAAAGCCAGACACTTTCACGAACCACTCCGGGCTCAGGACTGGAACCAGGCTGCCCAAGGCTTCCAGAGTGCCGGGGACTCTCAGGCCCCAGGGGCGCAGGCTGGAGACGTACCTGCCCCATTGCTCCTCCTGCTCCATCCTCCTCCTCTGCCTCCCCACAAGCTCTTGCCTCGCACCCCACTTCCCCACCGCACCCCACTTCCCCACCGGCAAGGTCACAGGTGAAATCAAGAGACACATGGGGGGCAGGAAAGGGGGGCTAGTACCTCCCGTCCCCCTGATTTCATAAGGGCTCATGGCTGCCCCTCTGCTTCTGGCCAACAGAACTGTCCTTAGAAATACTGTGAGGCGTGAGTTTCCTGCACGTCTGGAAGGGAACAGAGAGCTCCCTTGCAGACATCCTGCACTCCCTGTCTCCTCACCTCCTCCATGATGCCTTCCCAGCCCCTGGGCAGACCCGGGCTCCTCCTGGCCTCCCATGCACTGTCCTGCAGGTGGCGTGATCCCCCTGGGCCGTGGCTGCTCCCGTCCGCCACTGTCTCCCACACTAGCCTCCAAGCTCCGTAAGAGCAGGGACCTCGCTGTGCTCTTCTGTATTCTGAGCACCTCGCCCGGGGGCTGGCCAGGCACTCAGTAACATCTGGGGAAAGAATGGGCGAACTCAGACGACCTGAGACGCGGCACAGACTGCCCGTTAAGAGCTCGGGCACTCGGACTGGAATCCCAGTGCTGTTGCGTATTAGCAGTGTGAGCCTGTTTCCTCATCAGTAAAAGGGGACTAACAGGAGGACCGCCCGCAAAGGACTGCTGTCAGGGTTAAATAAGATGGTGAGGTAAAGGCCTGAGCACTGACCGGATCGGGGCAAGCAGGGAGGAGTGGAAGGTGTGGACCTGCTCGTGTCCCAGCAGTCGCCAGGGAGTTCCTGAAAACTTGGAAACTATAACCACCAACGTGGGCCGGACTAAGCACCGTTGGGGCGTGGGTATGTCCATGGTAACACCAGGAGGAGCCCAGGAAGAGTGCCTGCGAGCTGGGCCCTGCGAGGAAACAGCCTCGGGGGCCACAGGGGGCAGCCACAGAAATCAAAACCACGGATCCCTTAGAAAAGCTCAAGTGGGAAGCCGAGGTCGCTTCCGGGTGTCACCTGCTGTCGGGAACCGGGCGCTGGCTCCACCACACTCGGAGCCTTTTACTTTCTGTATGTGAGGCTCCATGCCCCTCCCCTCCAGCGCGGCCCACAGATGCCTCCCACACGTCTCAGCTGTTCCTCAGCTGCTCCCACCGCAGGTCTCCTTCCACGGAGCGTGTGGCTGAAAGCACTTTTCATGTCTCACAAAGGAGACAAGACTAGCAAACGCCGGGTGGGGGGTGAGGGGAGAAAAATCAAATACATCACAGAACAGCCTTAATGAGGCGATTTTTCTATTCCAGGGCTCCCTGTAATTTTCACATCAGGCACCGTCTTTATAATTTGGAAGTTAAGTGAATGAAAGGCTGCGCCACAGCCATGTTCCCGAGCAGACCACCAGCTGCACGCGGAGCCCGCAGAGCTGCCAAATCAGGTGCAGATACAAAGCCCTAAAGATAACGGTGGGGCACAGCTCCTGGCCACCCAGCCCCATTCCCCACCCCTCCCCCAGCCCCGTGACTGCAGAGGCTGAAAGCCAAGCCTGCTTTCCTCGGCCCCTCGACGCTGGGGCAGCCACGGGACACGGCTGAGCTGGGGCTGAAAGCACACAGTGGGCTCTTGCTGGGGATGCCAAGGAAGCTCCTGCGTTCCAGATAAAGCAGCAGTCAGTCACCCCACCCCTCCCACGCGAGTTCATAAAAGCACACATCTGGCCCAGCCGGTTTGGCTCAGCGGATAGAGCGTCGGCCTGTGGACTGAAGGGTCCCGGGTTCCATTCCGGTCAAGGGCACGTGCCTGGGTTGCGGGCTTGATCCCCAGTAGGGAGCGTGCAGGAGGCAGCCAATCGATTCTCTCTCATCATTGATGTTTCTCTCTCTCTCTTCCTCTCCTTTCCTCTCTGAAATCAATAAAAATAAAAGCACGTATCGGACCATGCCATTCCCTTCCTCAGAATCCTTTGAGAGTTTCCCAGGGCCCCCATGATAAAGTGCAAATTCCTGAAGACCTAAAGGCCCTGCCTGATGGGCCCCTCACCACTGCCCCAGCTTCGCCAGCCCTGCCTCTCCTCGCTCTCCGATATTCCCTTCCCTCACATTCCTTCAGTTCCTCAAACTGTCACGTAGATTTCTGCTTTAGGGTCACCTCACATGGTTGTTCCTTATTTGGGAGGCTCCCCTCCAGCTTTATGGCCCACTTAACCCTTGCTCGCCTGCCTGCGTCCTAAACAGGGAAATTTCCCATTTCAGATACCGTACTTTTCTGTTCTAGACTGCCAGTGTTCATTTGTTTTGAATAGTTTCCATTTCTCTCGTGAGATTCCCCATTGTTCACTCATTATGACCATCTATTCCTTTAAGTTCCAGATCAGTTATATAACAGATGCGTCTGACTTCATTTCCTAATTCCAACTTCTGGGTCATCTCAGGAACTATTTCCTTTTTAAAAATTTTATTTCTAGGCCTTTTTAAACTTTCTTGACTATGGGTCACATTCCCTGATTCTCTGCAAAGCTGGAAATTTTTCATTACATGTTGAACATCACAGGTGAAACCAACCTTGCAGGGAGTCTGGATTATGTTGTCTCCCTTTAAAGGTGTTGAATTTTGTTCTAAAAGTTCCTTGTGAACCTGTCAGGCTTAATTTTTTTTTTACTAAGATGAGTCTATTTTAATTTTGTCCTCATTCCTAGAGTGTTACCTAGATGTCTAATATATGGCTTTGTGGGGGTGTCAAATGCAGACTTTCGTCTGGGCCCTAACTCCAAGGTCTCTGAGCACCGTGCAACCCTGGTAGCTCTGCTCTCTGTCGGTCCCACAGCCACCATTTTCCATTGGGCCTTATGGAGCCTTGCTCCGTGCAGCCCTCAGCCAAGAGCCTGCAGTGAACATAGATTTCTGCCCACTCCTACCACTCCCACTTCTTCTGGTTTTCAGGGCAGACCAAGTGCTGACCTCCAAAGACAGCTTTTTCAATAAATGTGCACAGGAGTTCAGCAAGCACCCAGCAAGTCACCATGGTAACTAGCGTTTCTGATGAACAGCTGAAAATTCACAGCTGACAATTGAAAGAATAATGCCCCTCAGTTAGGTTATTACATTTCCAACTTGAGGCAGAGGTCAAAACAGAAGAGCTAATTAGGTGGCTTTTCCACAATGCCTGCTACAGAGCCTTGGACGCATCTGGGGCTGCCTGTCAGCAGAGAGGGGCTCCCACTGCCGGGAAGTTACAGAGAGCAAGGTCCTCAGCCTTGTGCTTCTCCTCTGGTCTCTCAATAGCACTGTGCTAACCAGTTCCAGTGAGTACTTTTCCAAATCCATACACTATTCTCAGTTGTGTTCTGAATAAATTATAATAGAAAAATAGCCTCATTTAAGAAACATCTTTTAACCGAGGGGAAAACGGGGGGGGGGGGCGGGGAGAAAGGAACGTCTTTTGAGTGAGAGAACTGGGAGTCATCTATGCATATGGCGTTGGTCGTTGGTGCTGCCCGCCAACGTGCACACATTAGTGGGGAGCCTGCATTAGTGGGGAGCCAGCGGGCCCACACTCACCTTTGCATAAGCAGTTGTCTTGAGGAACCACTGCCTGAGGTACTTCTGCTCCACCTTCGCTCCGGAGCGCCACGAACAGCCCTGCTCATCCACCTGCTCGTTGGCCAGCACTGTTTGGTCCACGGGGTCCCAGTTAACCAAGGCCTGTACCAACCATGAAACAAAATGGTGAGGACACTGAAGGACTCCTCGAGGTTCCTCCCAGGTGAGGAATCTGCAAACGCAGCATCTTTGCTCGGGGACTCGAGGAATCTGCATCCCCTTGGAGTACCGTGCGGCCAGAAAATCACCAGTGAGCCGTAAGAAGCGCAGGGAATGGCCTCTGTGCCTCCCTCCCATTAGAATACGCTTTGGACGGAAGCTGTAAGCACGTGTCTAGCTCAGGCTTGGTATCTTCTTGCATGAAAGGATGAACTGGCAGGATTTGAAGTTTGAGTAAACAGAGAAAAAGAAGTAACAATGGTACCTAGAGCCTAGCAGAAATCCGTTATTTTAGGGGAAACAAGTATATTAACTTTAATATAAATAGTTAACCGTTACCGAGTGACCACCGTGTGCTGGATGCTGGGCTAAGTGCCTTCCTAATGCTGGCTTTCCGCATCCTCACGACAACCTTTTAAGGCAGGAATAGTGTTCTCCCCACATTGCAAAGGAGGAAACTGAGGCACAGAGGTCAAATAACCTGTCGAAGGTCACCCAGGAAGTGACAGAGACAGGATCAGAAGTCAGACTATGGGAACTGTAAAAATTGTCTGCAATTTTTTAAAAATTTTATCTCTGGTGCTAGCAATAGTAGGGCTTCCCTAAATCCTCAAAAACAGTCACTTTATTCCATTTAAATGACTGTATCACATATGTAGAGTAGAGCGAATAAATCTTACCACCACCCTTATCAAGATATAGAGCATTCCCAATACTCCCCAAAATTCTGTTGTGTCGTCTCGCAATCAACATCTGTCCCTAGAAGGTAGCAATCTTTTGAGATCTTTCTGAATACTTTTATGTGGCTGAGAGACCCTGTAATCTCAACCACTGTGAAGTTTCCCTCCATAGCTCTAACTCACTTCTATCTTCATGTAAAATAAATACCTCTGCCATTGACATCATCCCTTTACTACATTTAGGTACAACTTAGTGCAAAGAAGTCAATGAGTACAGAGTTTGGGCACTAAACTATCCTGGCTTGATAAGCACTGTTATTTTAAATATGTTTTTATTGATTTTCAGAGAGAGGAAGGGAGAGGGAGAGAGACATAGAAACATCAATGATGAGAGAGAATCATTGATCGGCTGCCTCCTGCACTCCCCCTACTGGGGATGGAGCCTGCAGCCCGGGCATGTACTCTGACCTGGAATCGAACTATGACCTCCTGGTTCATGGGTGGATGCTCAACCACTGAGCACACCAGCCAGGTTCTCATTGTTATTTTTAATTTTAATAAGCAATTCTAACAAGAGATTGTGCCGAATATTGTCTATTTGCCCCTCCAAATCCTCTTTCCCTCTTCTGCACCCTGGCTTGTCCTTTGTCTGGGTTCAGCCAATGAGAGGCGCCCTGGCCCTCCTTCCAGCCGGGTCGTGGCTGGAACACCGAAGCACAGCCCCTGCTCCCTGTCACAGCCCCTGCCCCCTGTCACAGCCCCTGCCCCCTGTCACAGTTACCGTCCTCCTAGTTCCAGTGCCTGCTCCCCGAGGTCGCCCCTAAGCCCTACAGAAACAGTCCCTTTATAACATGATCCTTTCAGCCGCACCCTCTACTTCCTGCTGGACCCTGACTGATCTGGAGACATATCTAAAATCTACGTAAAAAGGAGGGTGGCTGAAACCGGTTTGGCTCAGTGGATAGAGCGTCGGCCTGTGGACTGAAGGGTCCCAGGTTCGGTTCCGGTCAAGGGCATGTACTTGGGTTGTGAGCACATCCCCAGTGGGAGATGTGCAGGAGGCAGCTGATTGATGTTTCTAACTATCTATCTCTCTCCCTTCCTCTCTGTAAAAAATCAATAAAATATATTTTTTTATAAAAAAAAAAAAAAAAAGGAGGGTGGAGGATAGGCTAACCCGTCTGTGGGTAGTGATTTTACAACTGGAAGGCAGCATGGCCACCAAAACACGTAAGCCTGTGAAGCCTGCAGTTAGTGGTAAAGCCATGCAGTGAGTGACTCCCCTCATTCCAGGGCCCCCCACGCCTTGAGTACACAGAGATAAAATATTAACCTTAGAGATGAAAACTCTAGGCTAATAAACCAAGGGTGATTTACTTATCTGTTATTATCGCCTATATTAGGGGTTGGGAGGAATACCATTAAAATAACCAGCCCTAGCTGGTTGACTCAGTGCATAGAGCATCAGCCTGTGAACTGAAGGGTCCTGGGTTCGATTCCAGTCAAGGGTAATTGCTGGGGTTGTGGGCTCGATCCCCAGTAGGGGGCATGCAGAAGGCAGCCGATCAATGATTCTTTCTTATCATTGATGTTTCTATCTCTCTCCCTTTCCCTTCCTCTCTGAAATCAATGAAAATATATTTTAAAATAAATAAAATGAAATGAAATGAAATAAAATAAATAAGGTAGCCCTAGCCAGTTTGGCTCAGTGAATAGAGCGTCGGCCTGCAGACCAAAGGGTACCAGGTTCGATTCTGGTCAAGGGCACATACCTTGGTTGCAGGCTCCTCCCCGGCCCAGGTAGGGACTCCTGCAGGAAGCAACCAAGCAATGCGTTTCTCTCACATCGATGTTTCTTTCTCTCTGTCCCTCTCTCTACCAATCTCCCTAAAAATCAACGGAAAAATATCCTGGGGCAAGGATTAACAATAAATAAATAAATAAATAAATAAATAAATAAATAAGGTAAAAAGAAAGAGCCAAGTGTTGTTTAGTATTGTGGAAAGTTCTTTCAAATGGCAGCCCGCCCCACGCCCTCCCAAAAAACCCACACGGAACTAAAACTGTATAAAATACAAAACGGAGATAGAAAGCCCTATATGCTTCCATCTGTGCCTCTCGCCCCCCACCAACCTCAGAGGATCAGGAAGAAGCAAACACTCAATACTGCCGATTGCAGAAACAAACAGGACTTTATTTTCTTATCAACAGTTCCCACACGGGCCTGGCATCTCCCCGGCTCTAGGTTACAAAATGCAAGGAGGAAGGTGTGTTCCTAAGAGGTTTACAAGTTATAACAAAACCCTGGTGTCGGATGAGAGATAAATAAAAGCAAAACACAAAAGCAATTTTTTCCCCAGAGAAAGTCTTGGGGGAAGAGGAAAAACACCAAAGGAAATAGCATTTCAGATCAAAGATGCATCAGCTGTGAGAAACCACTCTTGTTTCTTCCCACGATCTGATCCGCCTCAACCACAGAGATGCAGGATCCAGGCTCAGCCTTCCACAGAGATGTAGGGTCCAGGCTCAGTCTTCCTGAGGGGGGGTTACCCCAGGGGTGGCCACAAGGCAAGACCCTGGCATCTGGGCGCAGCACATGCAGCCTCTCCATGCCCTGGAGCTGCTCCCAACGCCTTTTCCCGGGTCTCCTCTCTCACTAACGGCCTCTAGCACACGGCCTCCCTTGGAGCCAGGGCTCTTTACAACATCCCCAATGTCCACGTTTTGAACATGTACTTTGATGGACACCCTGATTGTCGGGCAAGCACAGTCTTGCTACATAGAATACAGTTTCTGGACAACCTCACCTGGCTGACATGTGTGTTACCTATTCCCCACTGAAGCCAACTCCACGCTCCTCTACAGTTCACTAGCCACATTGGTAGGATCTGAATTTTAAAATAAACCTTCAGTCGATACTGAAGCGGCTGAAACCCCTGCAAACACTGAGCTCCAGCCCACTTGGCCCACTGCTTCCCTCACAGAAGTTATCTGGTAACTCCGCAGAATGAACCGCTCTAAATAAGAGAATGCCCCCAGCTGATCCAGGGTTAAACACAAGGATTAACCTTTTTTTGTCTGGGTGTTGATGGGAAGCTTTTAGAAAGCATTTTAGGAATGCGTTCCATGACACCATTAGGCTCTCAGGGATCCTGGCGACTGTGGGCTCCACTGGGGATTCTCAAGGCGGCGACATCCTGATTTTGAGTTTATACGCTCCCTTCTCTGTGACACAGCAGCTGCGGTGCCCCCTGCCTGCGGCCTCCTGTGCCACCCCTCACCCTTTCTCATCTCATCTTCCTCTTGCTTGGGTTCTCTCCCCTCACCTCCCTGGGCCTCGCTTTGCACAGGATGCCTGTCCTGTCCAGATACCCTCCATCAGCCTTTGTCTCCTGGCCAGGGCATCGCTCCTCGGGCCTCCGGCTCCTCCCATCGCTGTCCTTGCTTCTTCCTCCTCAGGCTCCGCTTTGCTACCACCTTTTCTGAGGACACTGACATGCAGCTTCTGGCTCCAGAAGGCTGGTAAAGTATATGGTTCAGGGTATTGATTTTCTCAAAGTCTATTAGCTTTTTTCTTGACAAAGGGGTGCTTAATTAAGGAACACCACATAGATCTTATTAAAGGATGTAATTCTTAAAATCAATATTGCCCCATTCCACCCAGAATGGGCCAAATTTGGATGGAGTCCAGGGGAAGGGGGTGGGTCCCAAGGCTACTGCCACCACCTTCCGCAGCCCCGGGGGCCGAGTGGGAGAGGCCGTGCGCTTCCTGGAAACGAGGCCGCACTGCACACCCAGCTTAGGAGGCTGAATTAGCACGGCCACCAGCTGCCACCGAAGTCATGGAGACGGCCAAAGACAGACTCCTAGATAGGAACTCTCCACAGTTCCCCAGAACGTCCAAGCACCCGGCAACATCATTCGTCTCTCTACTAACTACATCCACGGAATAACCTTCTTTAAATCACAGAGGTAAACTCATGTTCTCCCAAGTACAGGGCTTGGAAAGCTTGTACCTGCCCATCATGAGCTCACAGCTTCATTGCTGCTGACATTGTACAATGAAATATGTCAACATTTGGAAGAGCTGCATAACTCACTGTACTGTATTTTCCAAATGCCTAATGTATGTTACAAAATTATGCAGAGGTGAAAAATCCATGCAAAGTGCAAGACAGACCAGTCCAATCCATTTCAATTTAACAGAGTACAGAAAGGTCACGGGTGTTTCAGATTCAACACTGCAGCTAAAGTTTAAGGAACCACCACTTGTTGACTTTTGCTATAGTATCAAAGAAGAATATTCACAATTATGTGAAGTGGTTATTAAATCACCCTTCCACTTTTAACAGGTTCTGTTCATTCAGTCTTCTGGTATTTACCACTGTAACTTTAAATAATAAAAGTATGCTTCCGTCTTGGATATTGTCTTTAGACAGCGCTGGGGACCCTGGGCCATGCATGGTGGATGCTCAGCATGGTCGGCCATACAGCCTTCCTCCCACCCTCAACCCCTCTTCTAGTTCACCCTATTTTTATTAGCTTTAATAGCTACCCTTCTAACTTAAAAAAACACATAGATGTAAACCTCTAACTTTTCATCTCTGACTCCTTGCTGAGAAAGATGAAGGGATGGTCTCACACTTGCTTCTATTTTTCTTCCCCAAGTTCACCTCCTGGTTTTTGTTGCTACATTATTTTTATGTTGTTAAGGTTCAAGACATCTTTGTTTTATTCCGAAATTCAAGTTGAGCCTTCTGCATCCATCACTAGATTGATTCTAAAGCTTTTCAAACCTAACACATAGTGATTCTGTAGGTATTATTCATTGTAAGACCAAGCAGTGTGAAGTGAGCCACAGAACAGTAAATGTGATTCTGTGTCCTTAAATCCCTCTGGTCAAAGGATTCATGCTGTTTCCACTTGTTACTTCTGAATTTTCTAGACCCACATTGTCTAGCAGAATATTCTGTGATGATGGAAAATGTTCTAGATCCGCGATGTCCAATCTTCGCTACTGGCACGTGAATGCGGACCTCAATCTTAATGTTAATTAACCTCAATTACTTTAAACTTCAATATCAACCCCACATGCCACTGGTGGCTACAGTACTGGACAGCGAAGTTCCAGGCCACACTTGATGCTCTCCCTCCTCCCCAGCATCTCAGGAGCATCCACTGTTACTGAGCTCCCACCATGACACGCTCCTCCCCTTCTTGGGAGACCACCCGGTAGGCACTGTGATGGTTGTTCTTCAAATATCATCTCTGTCCACCAAGACCCTGCAACGATGTCACCACCCACTGAGCAGGAGAACCACACTCCTGGAGGTGACTGACCCAGCGCACAGCTGGGCGGGGTCTGAGCTAGGGTCTGGGAAGCCTGCATTCCTCTTCTGCTCCCCCCGATCTCAGCCCAGGCACCAGGCACTGTTATGTGCTGGGAATTCAAGCGTGAAAGAACCAAGCCCTGTCCTGGAGGCAGCAAACTAAGCCGGGCGAGGTTACTTTCTGGATCTGCTGCGACCCAGGCCATGAACTTGAGGTCATGTTCATTTTCACGGCTCCTGGGAAAATAGGGTGTCTTTGTTTCTTGTTTAACAATGGTGTGTTCTAAGCAGACGGAGGAAATTTATTTAAAGTGCAGCTAACTTGGACTTACCTCCTTCTGATAGGCCAGTCCAGCGTCGTAGAGCTTGATAAAGAGGTACTGCGTCCACTTGTAGTAGTCTGGTAAACACGTGGTTATTTCCTGCCGGAGAGGGAGAAGAAGTCACCCACTGGCCACTGTGAACTCTTGCCCCCACGCCACGGAGGCACCGGCCTTGCAGCATTTTGAAAAGCAATCTCACTGCAAACATGTGACCGACTATCCTACTTTCCACCGATTTGTAAAGTGAGGGAAGAGAGATGTGATTGAAACGCCAACCCCACCTTCCCTGTTTAAAGATGAGAAAATCAACCCGAAGTCTTCTGCACACGCCTCCCTCCACCCATGCAACTAGCATGTGAATTACATCGTACGAAATGGGGTATTATCATTTTTGTCAGCAAAAACATATTGGGGGGCCACAAAGCTCATTCATGAAAGCAATTCATTTTTAAAGCAATCACAAAATCCAAGAGGAATATTTTCCTGCTTTCAAACGCTCTTCATTTGAAAATAAACCTTGTGTTTCCACCTACAACCAGGGCCCGGTATCTCCTTCAGACCCATTTTACCTCTTGTATTCCATTATGTGAGTCAGGCTGGCATCTACATAGGAGACCCACCAAAAACATTACCGAATATTAAACTCAGTGATAAAGCACCTGGCTTGTATTTCCAGCCTAAACCGAAGCTTCCCCAAATGTACTTTCTGTCCTGAAAACGCCTTTGCTATGGAATCTTTAAAGACAGGTTATTGATTCATCCCTGTAAGGCTGGGTGGGTAAGGTCAATAAGCACAGAGACCTACACTCACACTGCTTCCTTCTCCGGCTCTTTGCGCACAACAGCTCACGGGGGAATGGGCGTAGGACAGGGCACATTCCAAACGGTCCCACCTGGATGGACATCTGAAAGAAGTCACCCTCTACGGAAAGGCAACAGCTCCGCCTTTCTTCAGATGGAGGAGAGAGCTGAAGCCCAGGGGGGAGGGCAAGTCGAGCTGAACAGGGGGCCTGGGAAACTCGAGGTGCTCCCAATGGGCTACTTCTCTTAGGTAAGATTCCTTTGTATTATGTCCTTTTATGTGCTGACATAAAAATAGCAGAGTAATCGCTACTAGAAAACAAAGAACTCTGATCACCAGATCCACTCCCTACTCCCCTGCAAGGCAGAGAGTGAATAACCAGCCCATCTAACAGCTTCGCCTCTATGGTAGCTGACCCCCCCGCCCCCCTCCCCCCAAGCTGTGACGCTGAGTTGCTGAGCTGTAAGCACCAAAGCCAGTCCCAGCTCCCAGGCTGCACACACACCCAGTCTGCAGGAGCTACGTGCACCAAGTGCCTCGCCAACTCAAGAATGGGACCAGCACACTGTGGGCGGGCCTGCTCCCCACACCTCCAAATTCACCCTCAACCCAGGATCTTTTCCTCACCAGCTACCCCTCCCCATGGCACAGAACTCGTTTTCTTCCGTTTCCCAGACAAGCAACTGAAGAATTTGCATTTCTTTCTTTATTTTTGAGAGAGAGCGAGAGCGAGAGCGAGAGCGAGAGAGAGAAGGGGAGAGGGAGGGAGGAAGGGAGAGAAACATCGACTTGTTGTTCTGCTTCTTTATGCATTCGTTGGTTGATTCTTGTATGAGCCCTGACTGGGGATCGAACCTGTAACCTTGGCATATCAGTATGGCGCTCCAACCAACTAAGCTACCCAGCCACGGCAAAAGCTTGTGTTTCTAATAAAACCGGGGCAGGAGCGATGTTTAGATGTTTAATTTGTTCATCACTGTCTGCTCAGGTCCTAGTACATCAAGGCACCCCAACATTATTATTGAATGAAGACCAGCCCATCTAACTCCTGCATGTTGAATCAAACTAAATTCAAATTACATTGTAAATCTGTAAGATGAACTAGGGCAGGGGATGCAAGAATGTGGTAAAAATATTCCCACACTTGTTATGGTTTGTTTTTGCAAATTCTTATTCATTAGAAGTTTAAAAAATGTGTGAAGCTAATATGAAAAAATGACAGTTTAAATTTAGGAGATGACAATTCTCTTTTCTCTAGTTATCTGCATTGTTAAGTTTTTCATAATAAAGCATCAAAATACTTCTAATAAATGCATATAATATATGGATATAGTATATGCATGTATGTGTTTTCTCAGCCTGAATCTGCTTCTATAGATTGAGAATAAAACTACACAGTAACAGACCAGTATTATCATCTTCATCCAGGTTTATGGTTTTGAAAACCACTTTCACTTGAAATAGAAGAAAGATCACAGTTCCAGTCAGAGGGGAAAAAGATGGCTGTCCAGCCGAGCATTAGCCTATTTCAGTCCGCCAGGAATGCGACCTCTTCGGAAGAGCCAGCTCCAAGATGCGCTGAGCGGCGGGCACTGCAGGCCCCTCCCCACCTGCCTTCAGACTGGGTCTGACCCGTGTTGTTCACGTCGGGTTTCTGCATGTCATTGGAGGAAAAGTCATGCCAGCTGCTGGAAGGGTACAGCTTGCAAACCAGTACTCCAGGACCATCATCCACTCTCGACTGTGGAGGAGAGAAAGTTCCGTGCTGTGACCATGGCGGGACCGTGAGCTGGACCTGGGCCAGAGCGGGAGAGGGCTCCCTGCAGCCCCTAGACACGAACTGAAACTGATGCTCGTTCTGACATAAATTAGCGCCCCTCCCTTGCCTCCTGCGACGAGCTGGTTCCTGGAACAGGCTGTTCACAGGCTGGTCAAACATGTGAAGTAATTTCTGCACCTGGAAGCACGCATGCACTAGCACCATGACTGGCCCCCCATCCCCCTTACCCTATATAATTCTTTGGTGCCTGCCAAGCAGCGTGATGATCCATTTATTTCCTCTTGCAGCCTCCAAGACATGCCTTGTGAGTTTCCCCTAATAAACTCTGTTAATTACCAACTGGGGTGGCAGCCTCTTTCTTCATCTCTCTTGCCCTCTGTTACTGAGGAAGATTTTCAGTGCCAGGAACGGCACGTGCCCTGTGTCTGCGTGTGTGAACGCCGATGGCTTTACTTGAGTACATGTTTACCACTCACACAGTCCCCTCTGAAGTGCCGGTGTCCCCTGCCCAGAGGAAGCTGGGAGCGCTCCTGCCCATTTTCCCACCTGCTGCACACAGGGTCCACTAGGACCCTCGGGATCATCCTCTGCATGAAGAACTGGCAGACCAGATGGAGCAAGGCTCCCTAGTCCAGTCTCATGAGAACCACAAACATGGTGGGGAGAGGGCTCAAAAATGCATTTCCTAAAAGTATCGGAACACTTCTGGAACCTTCCTTGATTTGCTGGTTTTAAAAACAACAAAACAAAACAACTATTTCTAATCTTCTAATACCTCATCTCAGTAAAAAATCACCAAAAAGGGGACACCTGTAATACTCCCAACAATAAAGGTTTTGTGTGTGTGTGTTTTTTAAATCACCAGACATCTTTCTGAAATGAAACTGCTTAAAAGCTTTCCCTTTAGTCTGGCGAGAAATGGAGACTCCCTTTCACATTTTCCCTGAGAACCTCTTACTTAACCCACCTCTGCAGACAAGGCTCTCCTGGGGTTTCAGCACCAGAGATGCTCACTGCCCTTCCTTCCTTCCTCTTCCTAAAGCAGGATTCTCACAGGAAACATTTGCACTCAAGGACACCTGGCAGTACCTGGAGGCATTTCTGTCCGTCACACTGTGGTGGGGAGGGTGTTACTGGCATAGTGAGTAGAGGCCAGGGATGCTGCTAAGACCCCTACAATGCACAAGACAGTCTCTCAAACACAAAATTATCCAAGTCCAAGCGTGCCAAGGGGAGAAACCTGCTCCGAGGGGTTTGATTTTTTCAGTTTGAGTCTGTAACCTCGGGCAGATTAAAGAGCCAAGCAACTTTCCGGTAGGCATCCCATAAGAAGGCGTAAAACATCCTTGGGAAAGTGGGAATGCCAGCCCTGCGCTTAGGCTGCCCTTCTCCAGCTGCTGTGACCCCCTCACTGTCGAGCACAAGGGGCAGGGCACTCATTCCCACGGAGCTCGCCCCTTCTCCCGGCTCTGAGACCAACCCCGGGAGAGACCTGGCAAGCCTGAGCAGACACAGTTCTGAAACTCGGTTATGCATGCATAGGGCTGCTCTCTGGGAATGAGTGATTGGTTTTACTCCCTAAATGTTAAATCATTTAATAGGCCTCCAAGCGGTTGTCTGACTTGGAAAATCTCTTGTAATAAATTCATGTAATATAGTTCCTATTGCGAAGTTAGGGAGGCATATCGTTTTTCGTGATACATCAGGTTACCGCCTTCCATGAAAAGGTTGTTGACAAGTGTTGAAAGATCATCCGTTGGAATCTGGCCCACAGCACCCAAATGTCCTGGCCCAGCCCTGCCTGTACCCGGGGGAGCCCAATGTCTGTGGGGTGGGGATTCCTGTCCCCCCGCCCCCGCCCCCCATTCCTGCGTGGGAAAGCACTGACTTGGGAAAACTTCTTAGTCAAGCGCAGGCTGTTTACTCTGTTCCGAACCCTCTTCATTCTTGCGCTTGCCTTTCCCCAATTCCCAGACAAGCCAACACCTAATGCATCTTGTTTTTATTTTTATTTATTTTTTTAAAAGTATTTTGCCATGTTTACGGCATATGGCAGTGGCTTTTTTAAAAAATATATATTTTATTGATTTTTCACAGAGAGGAAGGGAGAGGGATAGAGAGTTAGAAACATCGATGAGAGAGAAACATCGATCAGCTGCCTCCTGCACACTCCCTACTGGGTGTGTGCCCACAACCAAGGTACATGCCCTTGGCCGGAATCGAACCCGGGACCCTTGAGTCCGCAGGCCGACGCTCTATCCACTGAGCCAAACCGGCAAGGGCGTGCATCTTGTTTTTAAAACAGAAAGTCAGGTTACTCAAAGTTATACTCCAAAAGCAACTGCAACGCGACCACATCCACACAGATCCACAGAAAGGTGTCATGTTCCACCCCGCCCCCATCCCCAGCTCTAGAAAGCGCAATCGACCGGCCGGGAGACCAAACCTCTGCACCTGGGACTCAACCAGAGTCATCCTCCCACACTGCAGTCTTCACTCTGCAATACCTGGCTTTTAGCATGAAAAATACGCTGCCCATTCACAGCCAAACACAGAGCCCGACACAGAAGGTGAGCCGCTCAGAACACAAGTGAGGCTCGACGGTCCTTCAAGACCTGCCACCCTCCCGGCACACTGCTAACTACGCCGGCCGTGCCAGGAGCCCTGTGCGATGATGAGATCCAGGGAGCCCGAGCCAGAGGCCTCCTCCAGTGCCCCTGCCGTGAAAGGGCATGTGGTCTGGGAAGAAGTCACCGTGTGTGCACCTCACTGAGGTCTCCCCAGCTAACACTCCTTGCTCCAGGGAGTCTAGAAAGAGTGAGCGATCGGAAAGACAGTCCACTTTGGAGCCATTGAACCTGGTTCAAGTCCTTGCATCACCGTTAGCTTGTGGCCAGAGCCCAGTGTCCTGTCTAGAAACAGGTGAAGAGCCGCCCTGAAAGCACATGCTGGGCACACGGGAGGGATCGCCGGGGCCACTCCCCTGGGCGGACTCGAGCAGGCTGTTGGGGTGAGGCTGGTTTCCCATCATACCACTCGGAGAGGTGGCGGACCCCTCGTGAGGCTCCCGGGACAAGGGAAAAGGGAGAGGAAAGGACCAGAAAGAGAGGGTGTTTACAAGGGAACGACCAAAACACATGACCGGGATGGAGACATTCACACCAGGCTGCTCCCAGTCACGGCTGGTGGCGACCCAGCGCCGGGAGAGCCAGCCAGGTGGCCTCCGAACCCGGCCTCTGCTCCGGCAGGATTCACAGACCTGCTCCCCCCGCCCCCCCCCTCAAAGCCACATGCGTTTACGTTGCATGGCA